AAATACATGCCTACAACTCTAAGTACAGTTAGCTCTTACTGGGGAGGCACATACTGTATTCCTGAAGAGCTGGAGTTGTACACAGAGAAAGGGTAATTATATTTCTCCCAGAGTTTAAAGGCATTCCTCTACCCTCCTCACATTGTGCCTTGACTGCATTTCACAGCAGTGGTTTTCAAGTTGAAAGCAGGGTGGGTTTTTTTTTTTACATGACATTGAGTACAGAGGTTTGGAAATTCATATTTCACTCCATAAATTCCACATTATAAAACAAGATTTATTTAAAATTTTGAATCCAAGGTAGTCAAAAAGTTGATACTAGATTTCCTTTAGCATTTGCCAAAGACAATTTATATAAACATGTTTGCTTTGCTACCTTATGAGAAAGCCCATGGAGATTAACTATACAACATATGTATTTTTATACTGTAAAACATATGCTCTTTTAGATGTTTTGTATAATGTTATATTAAAAGAGAAAAAGTAGCAAGCAGAATTTTAAAAACCATTACTGCAAGATTTATTGTATACTCAAAATCTGAGCATGAGAATTGAGATGAGTTTCTGTCAGGAGAAAGGAAAGCTGTAAAATTTACCCACAACAAGCTAGCATAATTTTATTTGTCAATGTTGTTAGATAAAGAACACAATTTATCAGAAAAGCTATCTGGATTGAATGATATGAATTTTAAAAGTGGCATATTTTTATTTCCAATATATATATAGGACAATATAAGCTCATGATTAAAACACAAAACATAAATATAAAAACAGTCTAATAAATGCAATTACAAAACTAAATGCAACCATTTAAACAATATAAAGCTAACACAATATTTTAAAGGGCCACACCAAAGTTATTAATAACGTGACCCTAGATATGCATGTGTCTATACATACACATATGAATATACTGTATACTTCGGAATAGCGAAGCTAGCTTTCTTATTTTAAGTTGTTTCCAATTAAAGTGCTATAATATATATTATCGCTGTGCACTTCTAAGGATTATTTGGAAGATACACTTTGGAATTTGCATGGGTGCAGCATCTCTGCTAATCATTTAGGCAGCCGCTTCTCTTCTTTTTTAGACGACAACTACATGTATTAGAGACCCTTTATAGATTTTTTGCTGAAAATTAAAAAAGAGAGCTTGTGATTTATGGCTTGATTATTAGAAAAGGTGGAATGTGGAAAGAAGGGAGCCACGATGTAAATGACAGAGGGAAGGAATAAAATATAAATGTATTTATAACCACTGTAAAAAAAGATTGGAAGCTACTCCTTTATGGTAGACCTTGAATTATAATGGCATCTGGGACGGGAATTTCTGTCCTTAAATGGCGCAGCTATAAAGCATGATTGTCATGTGACCACACTGCTTAGCAACAGCAATCCCTGCAGCCCCTGTTGCCATCGTTAAGCGAGGAATGCGGGTCATTAAGTGAGCACCTCCTCACAATTACATGTTGGCTTCCGAAAAGCAAAGTAAGTGGAGAGACCACGTAACCTTCCCTGCAAGGTTGCAAATCACGATCCTGTGACCGCTGGATGCTGCAACCACCATAAATTTTGGTCACCGCGATGTAAAAAAGATGTTGAGACTCTAGAAAGAGTACAGAGAAGAGCAACAAAGATGATTAGGGGACTGGAGGCTAATACATATAAGGAACGGCTGCTGGAATTGGGTATGTCTAGTTTAACGAAGAGAAGGATGAGGGGGGACATGATAGCAGTGCTCCAATATCTCAGGGGCTGCCACAAAGAAGAGGGAGTCAAGCTATTCTCCAAAGCACCTGAAGGCAGGACAAGAAGCAACGGGTGGAAACTAATCAAGGAGAGAAGCAATCTAGAACTAAGGAGAAACTTCCTGACAGTGAGAACAATTAATCAGTGGAACAACCTGCCTCCAGAAGCGGTGAATGCTCCAACACTGGAAGTTTTTAAGAAGAGACTGGACAGCCATTTGTCCGAAATGGTATAGGGTTTCCTGCNGCAGGACAAGAAGCAACGGGTGGAAACTAATCAAGGAGAGAAGCAATCTAGAACTAAGGAGAAACTTCCTGACAGTGAGAACAATTAATCAGTGGAACAACCTGCCTCCAGAAGCGGTGAATGCTCCAACACTGGAAGTTTTTAAGAAGAGACTGGACAGCCATTTGTCCGAAATGGTATAGGGTTTCCTGCCTGAGCAAGGGGTTGGACTAAATGACCTCCAAGGTCCCTTCCAACTTTACTATTATTATTATTACTATTACTATTATTATTATTATTATTATTAAATGCCAGCTGGTTGCCAAGCACCCAGCTCATGCGAGTGACTGCAGGGATGCTGGGACAGTCCAAATTTCTTTCTTTTATTTTTTTTAAACAAGTTTTATTAATTTTTTCAGTTTTTACATCTAGGTAATTAGGAAGCAGCATGGTGATAGGGTAATCAATAGTCCAATAACAAAATCATTCATATATCTGTCAGGTTACATCGTTAAAATTCCCTCTCTATTTCCCTTAATTATTATATCATATTCAAATTAATACATTTCTAGGTAAAGCTCAATCAATCAATAGAATTGTCAATAACATTTTACTTTTCATATCCAAGTCCTGTTTTTAAGTTTTACTTAATTCCATTTACCATGTTCCAATTTAGCCTTTAATAACCGTAATATTTAGACTTCGAGTAACCCTAATTTCCCTTATTTCATTACAAAATAATTATCCTGTGTAGAATACATATATTATTCCAAAAATTACGTTCTTACTTTCTTTCATAGATATATTCTATTTCTCGTCCTGGTAGGTCCTCATTAACTAATAAAATATCTTTCATGGGACAGTCCGAATTTCAAGGACCGGTCGTAACCATCACTCATTCAGTGTTGTTGTAACTTTGAATGAACTTTTTTCTTTTTTTTATTTTCTTATTTACTAATCACTCTTCTTTTACTTTACTTTTACTTTCCTTGTTTATAATTTGTATTGCTTTTATTTTGCAAAAAAAAATAAATAACATTGATTTAAAAGAATGCAGCTTTATCTCTCTTTTTTTTTTAATTTCCAGGAGGGTCTAAAAAAGACATGGCTATTTAGCAAGAAGGCCTTTGCTTCCATATGTTACAAAGCATTTTTTTTCCAGATCATTTTCAGAGCATGTCTAGTGTTAAAATACATCCCTTAGTAGGCAATTCGAGAAATTATAAGGTCATTACCAAACAAAGTCTTCTGCTACGTATATTTGCTATTAATAAATCCTAAGGACTTGCAGATATGGTCTCAGTGGCTAATGGCCTGATGAGTCAATAAGCATTCAAACAGTTCTTGAAATATCTATTTCAAATACCTTAGGTCTTGACTAGAACCATAGACGTTTATCTGATCTCTGGGATCAAGCAAGGAGACAGAAATGAGGGCCCTAAGGCACTATAACAAGAAAGTAAATAAAGCATCATAAATAATTAAAGCTCCCCTCTCTCTCACACACACACATACACACACTCCATTTTTGCTAGAGCATTCCTATGAGAAACATTGAAGGACAATATAGACTTTTTCATGGTAAACAGGAAAGGCCAATTACAAACAGCTGCTTCACAAAGTCAACTCAGAAATAAAGAAGGGCACAGATATCTACCTACACACCATGATAGCAACTAAATAAGGAACAGACCCCAAATCACCACCCCACACAATTACATCAGCAGTTTACTATGGAGTTGCTGCTCTATATTAAGTCTTACAGCTTGCTGATTTAGTAGGAAGAATCAATCAAAGGTAGTGAAGGTCAAAGTTAATTGAAGAGGTTTATAGAAATAGATATCAGATGACAACACATGGTACACTGTACCAAATCTAAGTAAAACCAGAGTATTACGAATAAAATGAAGCAGCCTGTAATTATCTCCATCTTTAAGGACTTATTGGTAAAGGGCAAGACCACAGAACAAATCAGCCTGGTGTTCTGGGAAATGCTAGGCAACCTCCCAAACTTAAAGTGCATGGGTTTCTATTAAGAAGGCAAGCCAATTAAACTTAGAAATGCCAAGAAAAAGCAACATAAGGCATCATTACAAGGAAGGAGTTGAGGCCGAGGCACGGGGTGATGCCAGAACTGAGCACAATCGCCCCATTTTTGTTCCTGTTGAACTTGGAAGACCTCGCAGAGAGCGAAACATCAAATCAAACCAGAAGGATTTCCAATTAGCACAGATAAATGGTGTGCATGCATCTGTCAATTACAAAATGGTTTTAGACATAGGAACCTGAGGCTCTCCAGATACTGGTCACCTACCAGAATCGCTTAACTTGTAGAATAAGCCTAAAGCACTGGTACTGGGACTGCAGTTGTCTGTGGCCTGCAAAGGCATTTTCGGCAGCCCTCAGTCCTCTTTTCAGAGTGGGATGATGATGAGTTTGGTGCATTCACCACTGGCAACTGCCTACAAAGTCCCTGCAGTTTTCTTGACAAGATTTCAGAAGTAGTTTTCTATTATATACCTAGAACAAAGGAGAAATGTCCTGATGGAACCATAAACCAGTGGAATGGCTTGCGTTCGGAAGCTGTGGGTGCTCTATCAGTGGAGGCTTTTAAAAAGAGACTGGACAGCCATTTTTCTGAAATAATATAGGGTCTCTTGCTTGAGCCGGGGGTTGGACTAGAAGACCCCCCAAGGTCCCTTCCAACTCTGTTATTCTGCTGTTCTGTTATTTATTGCTCCCTTCCTAGAGCTAAGAGAGAGCAACTGGAACAAGTTCACCCAGATGTTTTGTGCCTAAGGCAGGACAAGAACACATGATCTCTTGGTGCTTTAACTGACACACCAAACTGACTCTCAGCTTATTTTAATAGGTTAAAGTTAAATTGGATGATTAACAATTGGTTAATCATTAGGGGAATATATTGTTCAACTTACTAAAAATAATGGATGTTTTAAAGTACAGCCTTTACTCTAAATATGCCCATTTTCTGCTATAAAGTGACTATTTTCACAATGAAGAACCAATTTTTATTGGGAACAAACAGTTACCATTATTCTAAACTGACCAGCCCAAAACGAGGAGTTTTGCAGAAAGGATCATTATTCTCTATATTTTCAGCAATTCCACTGGTAATGATGTGTCGTTTGGACTCTTTTCTATCCAGCTGACACAATTCAGCCAAACTGAAGGACTGGCCTTTTACTGTCCATCTCAAATATTAAACCCACAGGTCTATTTTATATAAAACACTAAAACCTTGATTGTGGCTTAATATGTTGTGCAAATCCTTACTGCAGTTTATTCAATGAATCATTATTAAACCATACTTGAGCAATGGGTGAACCAAATTAAAGATTAGGTAGGGTTTACTTCTAGGAATTTTGAATAGGATTAACAGAGTAAAAGAAACTGAAAATACATTTTGCCCTTTTTCTCTAATGTAACATTTTAATGATCACTAATATATTTGAATACAGGCAGTCCTCAACTTACGCCCACAACTGAGTCCAAAATTTCTGGTGCTAAGGGAGACATTTGTTTAGTGAGTTTTGCCCCATTTTACGACCTTTCTGGCCACAGTTGTTAAATGACACTGCAGTTAAGTAACACTGCAGATAATAACACAGCTGTTAAGTGAATCTGGCTTCCCCATTGACTTTGCTTCTCAAAAGGTTGCAAAACGGGATCACATGAATTCGGGAACACTGCAACCGTCATAACTAGGAGTCAGTTGCCAAGCACCTCACTCTTGATCACATGACCATGGGGATGCTGCAAATGGTTGTAAGTGGTGCCGTTGTAACTTTGAACGGTCAGTAAATGAACTGTTTTAAGTCAAGGACTACTTGTAGAAGCAAATCAATGGTGGCTTCATAGATCATATGATTTGTTTTAAACAGGGTACGTTCAGCAAGTCATAATAATTAGCTGATGATCACATAGTATGCTAAATTATAAATAATGATTTATAACACTATGGTTTCGTACAATGGTTGAACTTATGAAATTTCCCTCACTTCAAAACTTAATTTCCTCACCTTGTCTAAATTATTGCTAAATGCAATTTTTTTCTATTTGTAGATAATATTTCTTGAAATTTATCATATTAAAAATTAAAATTGAGGCATCAATAAGATGTGTATTTACTGAAAGACAAAAATAACATTAAATCATTATATATCAACATAAATAAGGTATTTTCATGAAGCACCTATAGTTTGAACAAACAAAGTAATGAGGAGTGACATTGTCTTAAAATTTTCAAATATCTTCAAATAGTTTTGAGTTTGCAAATCCCTGAGATGATATTTGGGGACCTTCAGTGGTCCTTGGGCCACATTTTAAGAAACAGTGTCTAGAACCACCTAACCTCACCCTCAGTGCACAATTCAACTCATATTTTCGAACTTAAAACAGCAAAGCCTGAAGGACTGGACTAATATACTTGCAACACCTTCTGTAATGTATATGGCTCCCTTCTTTCACTTTTATGGCAAGAGATATTTCCTCTGAGAGTTTCACAACACATACAAATAAAGCAAAATATTTCCTTTAAGGTAAGCAGTATTGTACTCAAAAAGGAAAAAGTGATGAATTACCACAAGGATTCTATCGGCATTGTTTCATAGCCATTTTCCACTTGTTCTGACATATTTCCAAGTGCTTTCCACTAATAAGGAAAAACTTCCTGATGGTAAGAGCTGTACAATAGCGGATTAAAGACCTATCTGCGCATGCGTGTGATGGCGGACCTACCGTCTCCAGCTCCGTAGTGATGGCGGGGTCCTCAGCGGAGATGGGGTGCTGGTGAAGGTCCGGGGGTGCTCGCCGGCCAGGAGCTGGTAAGAGGAGAGGGTCGGCGAGCGAAGAGGACGGGCGATGGACCGCGGGACCACCAGGCTTGGGCTGGGCGGGGCTGCGAGCGGAGCTGCGAAGCCGCGGAGGGCGGCCCAGGCGCGGAGAGGCCTAGCGAGGCCTAGTGAAGCCCGGCCTGGTGGCCTAGCGGCCAGGAAGAGCGGCGGCCCGACGCGGCGGCAGCTTGGCGGCCTGATGCGGGCGGAGCTGCGGAGCTACAGAGGGCGGCCCAGGCATGGAGAGGCCTAGTGAGGCCTAGCGAAGCCCGGCCTGGTGGCCTAGCGGCCAGGAAGATCGGCGGCCCGACGCGGCGGCCTGACGCGGCGGCGACTTGGCGGCCTGATGCGGGCGGAGCTGCGGAGCTGCGGAGCTACGGAGGGCGGCCCAGGCATGGAGAGGCCTAGTGAGGCCTAGC